CTATATATATACATAATTATACATATAATTATATCATAGAATCATAGAATATCCTGAGTTGGAAGGGACCCTTAAGGATCATCAAGTCCAACTCTTGACACCACACAGGTCTACCCAAAAGTTCAGACCATGTGACTAAGTGCACAGTCCAATCTCTTAAATTCAGACAGGCTCGGTGCAGTGACCACTTCCCTGGGGAGCCTGTTCCAGTGTGCAACCACTCTCTCAGTGAAGAACCCCCTCCTGATGTCAAGCCTAAATTTCCCCTGCCTCAGCTTAACCCCGTTCCCGCGGGTCCTGTTACTGGTGTTAATGGAGAAAAGGTCTCCTGCCTCTCAACACCCCCTTACAAGGAAGTTGTAGACTGCGATGAGGTCTCCCCTCAGCCTCCTCTTCTCCAGGCTGAACAGGCCCAGTGCCCTCAGCTGTTCCTCGTACGTCTTCCCCTCCAGGCCTTTCACCATCTTCGTAGCCCTCCTCTGGACACTCTCCAACTGTTTCATGTCCTTTTTATACTGTGGTGCCCAGAACTGCACACAGTACTCGAGGTGAGGCCTCACCAGCGCAGAGTAGAGCGGGACAATCACCTCCCTCGACCTACTAGCGATGCCGTGCTTGATGCACCCCAGGACACGGTTGGCCCTCCTGGCTGCCAGGGCACACTGCTGGCTCGTATTCAACTTGCTGTCTACCACGACCCCCAGATCCCTCTCTTCTAGGCTGCTCTCCAGCGTCTCATCGCCCAGTCTGTATGTGCAGCCAGGGTTTCCCCGTCCCAGGTGCAGGACCCGGCACTTGCTCTTATTGAACTTCATGCGGTTGATGATCTCCCAGCTCTCCAACCTATCCAGATCCCTCTGCAAGGCCTTTCCACCCTCATTCGAGTCCACAACTCCTCCAAGTTTGGTGTCATCAGCAAACTTGCTCAAAATACCTTCTATTCCTACATCCAGATCATTTATAAAAATATTGAAAAGTACCGGCCCTAAAGTGGAGCCTTGAGGGACCCCACTGGTGACCGCCCGCCAGCCTGACACAGCCCCATTTACCATAACCCTTTGGGCCCTGCCCGTTAGCTAATTGCTCACCCATCGTATGATGTTTTTATTTAGCTGTATGGTGGACATTTTGTCCAGTAGGATCCTATGGGAAACCGTATCAAAAGCCTTGCTGAAGTCCAAAAAAATCACATCATCTGGTTTCCCTTGGTCCACCATACGGGTGATCTTATCATAAAAGGAAATCAGGTTAGTTAGGCAGGACCTACCCTTCACAAACCCATGCTGGCTGGGACCAATGACTGCTTTGTCCCCCAGGTGCGCCTCACTAAGTTCGAGAACCATCTTCTCCATGATTTTACCAGGCACTGACGTGAGACTGACAGGCCTGTAATTGCTAGGGTCTTCTTTCTGACCCTTCTTGAAAATCGGCACAACATTTGCCAGCTTCCAGTCTACTGGGACCTCTCCAAATTCCCAGGATCGTTGAAAAATAATTGAGAGAGGTTCCACGATGACATCCGCCAGCTCTTTCAGCACCCGGGGATGAATCCCATCCTGACCCATGGACTTGTAGGGATCCAGGTGGAGTAGCAAATCCCGCACACATTCAGGGTCGGTTGGGAGTTTGTCATCCCCACCGTCCCGGTCCTCCAGCTCAGGGCACCCTGGGTCCCGAAGCCCATCATCGGCATTGAAGACAGAGGCAAAGAAGGCGTTAAGCGTCTCTGCTTTGCCTATGTCATTGCCTGTGAGGAGACCTTCCCTATCAAGGAGCAGCCCTATGTATTCTTTAGTTCTCCTTTTTCCATTCACATATCTAAAAAAACTCTTTTTATTTTCTCTCACAGTCACAGCCAGCTTCAACTCTAGGTGTGCTTTAGCCACACGAATTTTCTCCCTACAAACACGAACAGCATCCCTGTATTCTTTCCATGTCACCCGGCCCTCCTTCCAGTAGCGAAACACTCTCTGTTTCCGCCTAATCTCCATTAGAATGTTCCTGGTCAGCCAGGCAGGCCTCCTGCCCCGCCTGCCTGACTTGCGATATTTAGGAATTGCCTGATCTTGTGCTTCTAGGAGGCATCGCTTAAAGAATGACCAGCACTGGTGGACATCGAGGCCTTCAAGAGCAGTTTCCCAGGGGACCTTGCTGACTAGTTCCCTGAGCAGCCTGAAGTCCGCTTTCCCCATATCTAGGGATGAGGTTTTGGTGGCACTTTTCCTTCTGTCACCGTAAATTTTGAACTCAACCACTTCATGGTCGCTATGACCGAGGCGGCCACCAATCACCACATCTCCCACCAGACCCTCTCTGTTTTCTAGCAACAGGTCTAGGAGGGCACCTTTCCTAGTTGGCTATTATATTATATATATATTGTATTATATATAATATATAATTGTACTACAATATTTTATATTATATATATTATATTATAACTATATATATAGTTATATTATATATAACTATTAATTATAACTAATAGCTATATTTAATTCTTTAAATGTTCCTCCCTTGTTTGTAGTTTTTCTCTATGTATTTTTAAATAGCACCAAAGGATGCTTGCGTTTGTGGATAAATATGATTAAGTCTTCTGTTGCTCCAGTCCTTAGTGAGGCTGCCTTAAATCACAGCTGGAGCAGTTTTTGACCAATATGTGAGTACTTAATAAAAAGATAAATTGAGATTGAATAAACTGTTAAATACATAATTTTAATTGTAAAGACCTATCTCAGTGCAAAACTTGTTTTCAATTCCTGCAGAAATATCTTGATGTAATCTACTAAAATGATTGTTTCAGAAAAAAAATAAAATAATAATAATAATAATAATGTGGTAAGAGGGGACATTGTGAAAGATATGGAAATTTGTACAAGAAATGGAAAAACATAAAACGCACTTCAAGCCACACTTTGTATCTTTCTATTACCTGTTTACTGCAATTTTGTAAATAATGCCAGGAAATTAGTTCTTTGGGGCAGAACTGCTTCAGGGAAATGTTTATTTCATGAGCAGCAGAACAATGAAGCCTGGTCCTTGCCTGCACGTGGACCTGCCCGTGGCACCATGGCAGCTCTAACTTCTAGAGGGAGCTCATGCTCTGGAAGGAACCTCTGCAGCTCCTCCTTGTGCCCGTGCTGGGGCAGCCCAGCCACCCTGTTGCCCTCCTGCCTGCTGCCTGGCACCGGGATCTGGCTGCAACTGGCTGCGGTGGGCAAAGTAGAGGGCTCCCTGGGCTGGGCTGCCCCAGGCCCTTACAAGAACGGGTTGTGGATGGCAAGGACTAGCCAGAGAGCTGTTTGGAGTTCTCACAAAATGCTCTGCAAATGTTTGAAACCTATTCCTTCAGCATCTATCTCTAAGTGTGTGTTTTGCCTGTTTTAGGCACGTTTTTCTTACTGCACCACACTTACTTTATGTGTTGACAGAAGCTTTTTTGTTGGTGGTGGTGGTGGTGGTGGTGGTTTGTGTTTTTTTTTTTGGTTTTCTGGGAGGTGAAGCAAGTCTTTTTTCATTTTCAAAGCTGGGTTAGTACTGTATCTGAGTTGCTTTTTGAAATTTTCTATCCATCGTTTTCAAAGTTATGTTTACGATATTTTCCCAGAGCTTTCCCTCTCCTTTTCTTCTTCAGAAATCTTGTTTAAGCTTTGTGTCTGCTCCCCAGGTTAGATCCTCGCTCAGAAGAAGCATATCTTTGACAAGGAGAAAGGAAGCAAAAACTTTTAGTCATTCCTAATCTTTCTTTCCAGTGATGTCAAATTTCTTCCCAGTCTGGAGGGATTTCTTTAGTGAGGCATTTTTCAGTAGCCAAATTCCTTTGTCAGTGGGCTGCCTTCTCCCTTCACGCCGTGTTTCCGGGGGTGAGCCCAGCCAGGACCAGCTGGGTAGGGCTGCACTGCCCAGTGACTTCCCAAATGTGCAATGACAAAATGCGGGGAGGTTTTGCACAGCCAGATTTTCACATGTTCCACTGGGAGACCTGTGGGATTTGAATTTACTAATACAGTCAATAAAAAATAGGTTCAGTGTTTTATTATTATTATTATTATTATTATTATTATTATTATTATTATTAGGAAGGTTTTTCTGTATTCTTCCTTCATAGATTCTTCCTTGTCCATATCTTCCTCAGCTGTACCCTCTAGACTTAAATCTGCTCGGATGTGCCCCTACAGAACATTTCAAACCGATAGGACCTGCAGTAACAGGATAGAAAATGGTCCCCAGCACCTCACCCTACTCCTCTGCACCCTCTGCTCAGGCTCTGCCATTTTTGCAGCCATGCATCATATCTGTCTGTGGCTCACAGGTGCGTGATCTCCATGACGACTTGGGCACTTGAAGTAGAAATATGAGCTGGTAAGTCAAGGTTACTTTCCATCCTCCTCCCTTCCGCTCAGTGCAATGCTGGTAATTACGTGTGATACTTTTTGGACTGGGCTGTGCTCATCCAGAGGAGAGTACAGACAGCGAGCTTTAATTCATCTATACAGTTTGAACACCTCACAGGGATCAGCAACGGAGCCCCACATGTCAAGGGGCTGTGGAGGGGCTGGCACAGGGTCGTTTCCTGGGGCTCAGTGATGTCCCTTGCAGGGGACACTGATGTGGAGCACAGAGAGAAAGCCCAGGGAGCTCCCCCGGCTCTGAGTACCAGGTTTGTTGACTGAGGGCCATCAGTAGGGAAATGCAGGTAATTAGCTCCTTTGTCCTTGCTGGATAACAGCAGAGGATACCAGCAGAAACAGAAACATAAATATTGAATTATAAAAACAGAATTTATATAGTCATGGAATGTATACATACATTATAAAGTGGAATTTCAGGTCTAAAGCATTCAGTTACCCAGTGGGTACATTGAAGTTTTGTCTCTGTATGCACAAAACACTTCCTCTTTCCATTGATGCAAATAACTTGAAATGAATAATGTTTTTCTTGTTTGTTAGCATCATCTCCCCCTGTTGTCCATCGACATGAAATGCAGTGTTCTGAAACATGAGAAAGGCAATACATTTCCTCCAGTTCTTTGTAAGCTGATACGAAGTAGACAGACACCTTCTGAAGTTTTGTGCATGCTGTGCTCTTTTTTTCTTTGCTGCAACAAGAAAAGTCTTTCCTTTTAACCTGGCTTACTTTGAAGAAGTAACTCAGGAAGCTTCATGGCCTCTCAAGGTAAGTGCATCTATAGTCTGTATTTTTAGATCATGTTTACAGAAAACTACAGTCTTGTTTCCAGCAATCAGCAGTCTGATGAAATGAGAGTTTCAGGCTAAAATCACAGCAGCCAAAGTATGGTTGTTTTGGCTTCCTTTAATTTGTCAGCATTCAAGAGGCTCCTAAGGAGACTAAAATCTATACTGGAATGTTATTTGAATAATATATGTTACAAAATGTTAGTATCTGCATTCAGTCAGAAAATGGTGTGTTCATGTGTTTGTTTTTAAACCTGTCAGTATAGGCTGTATGGAAAGACATGTATTGATCCAAGATTAAAACAGATTTTTGCACTATTCTTTCCTATTCCACTTTGAAAATACAAAATCTGCAAATGCTTTTCACTTTCAAAACTGCCCAGAGTAATATAGGAAAAATAAATATCTGAAGGAGAACTGAATTTAACCAGATTACTTCTATCTGGGTTCATTTTTGTCATGTATTGTCTTTGAGCTGCAGCCCATTGGGTATTCAGGGCTACAGATAAACACTATATGATCAGATATATAGTAGTATGCTGATCTAACAAGCCATCAAAATTCATTTTTTCTATTCTGACAAATACTAAAACTAAGCAGAAAGATACAAATCTGTTTTTTCTTAATGTGAATGCAACCCCACAGAGGTCACCCTGGTGTGACGTATGGAGGCAGATGCTGGCCCAGGGAGATCCAGCAATGTCTGTGTGTTTGCCAAATGTTTACCACCCTCATTCCCCCCCTACAACATACTTAAGACATTCAGCATTTTCAGTGCTTGAATTTATACAGCAGCAAACAGATTTAAGGGCATTGTTGTACTATTGGAATATATGTTTTTCCCTGAGGAGTATACATTTTGCTTATTTTAAGCCATATAAAAGAGTTCTGGTTATGTGTTTTTTAATGTATAGCAATTAACAGAAGTAACAATATATTCATGTTGTGTAAAATAGTGCTCGTAATGAAGGAAGTTGATAATATGCTTCTATAGGAGCCAGTAGCTCCCTACATTATGATTGTACGGAATGTTCACTGTATCATATGGTAACTTTTAATTTCTCCCATATCGTAAATGAAATAGGAAAGAACCACAATAAATAAATAAAAAATAGACAAAGCCTCAGAGTAGCTTAGGTTGTCATCAACATATTTACTGCTCAATTTTTGCATAGCTTAAAATTTGACAGGTAGAACTGCAATTTGTTGTCTTTTTTCTCTTTATTATCCAAGAATAACACAAGCACTCGGCCACTTCACAGCATTTCATGTAACAACAAGAGTTATGGCAGTAACAGAACCCTGTGAGGTAAAATGATGCAGAAGAGCATATAAAATATTTATCACCCAGTTATACATTTTTAAAAGCCAGCTACAAATTCAAAAGGGTTGCTTCTTCCTGTGGCCTCAGACTTTGAAGGAAAGCAGTGGCTGCAAAGGCAAATTAAGATCAAAATATGATTAAACGATGAATCAGCCACACTGGGTTCAAATAAAGCTAAAGGATCTCATTTAAACCCACACCTGCAAAATAGATCTTCAGACCTAGAGCCCAAATTCCTTCTGGACTTCAGGCTTCATTGTGCCCAAATATTGTTATGCAGGAGATAAAAATGATCAGTCTGAAGACTGCTTTCTTGCTGAGGCACAGAGGCTCAGTTTAATATGAGGACTTTCAATGTACGTGCTGAGAGCTTCAGCTGGCTCTTGCTTGTTCCAGCAGAGCTAGTGTTACTGAAGGCTGTGGAAAGATGCTGATAGTGAAACCAATGGGAGTGCAGAATCAAATGGCAAAGGATCTTGCTGCATGGAGAGAGAAGATGCCTGTGTATATGAGCAGATGCATGCATGGAGGTGCCAGTAACAGTAAATGCTTACATTACCTCCAGCAGCACTGGTCAGGGTAAACAGCATTGTGTCCTAAAGGAAGGGTTTGCAACAGCAGACGAGAAAATGCAGCTTACCGGTATCTGATCTCCTGTTAAGATTAATGAATAATGCACTGGAAGAAGCTGTAGACTGTTCATACCACAGCGGTAACATGTAGCATGGAGAATCTGAGATCCCTGGAAATTTTATCTCTAATTAAAGAGAAAACATGCATGCCCTTAAGATGCTGGAAGGGAAGCCAGCCCTGACAGGTAGCTGGGTGGACATCAGCACAGAGGCAGCAGTGCCAAGCAGCCCATGCTCAGGAGCCCACGGCCACCCCATGTGTGAGCATGGCTCAGCTCCAGCCTTGTCCCAGCATCTCTGAGTTTAGTTTTATCTGAAGGGGTCTCAGTTTGCATGCTCCAAGACAGTTTTGTAGGGTGAACTGGAGTGCTGGAAGTGAGGGAGCATCAGGAGATTAGCTTCAGACCCTTGCTCTTCATCTGAACTAAAATGCTGATGTAATTCCAGGCAGAATGTGACACTAATGTCCCAGTTTGGATCTGAGCAGCTAGCTGCTGTTTGACACTGCTCATTTCTGATTTTTTTTTATTATTTTCTCCTCCTGCAGAATCTCAACAACAAACAACCACAGTCTTTAAGGATTACCTCCCTGGTTCTTCTGGCCTTCCTGAACAAGATAAGCCTGTTGAACCCACAAGCCTCTGGAAGCAAACATCACATGCTCATAACTTGCCACCTGGTCTGGAGTATCTGAATCAGGTCCTGGATATTTTCAAATGCTAAAACTGTTCTGTTTTCATCATAGACTGATAAATTTGGGGGGTGGGGGAGTGTTTTTTTTTTTTTTTTTTTTTTTTTTTTTTTCCTTGTGAAGAGGGAGTTGGAGAAGGGGAAGCTTTTTGGTTGTCTGATATTACTATGAAATAAGGAACATAGGACTAATAAGCTCTTCCTTCATTGCTGCCATTCATTTTTATGGAAAACCATTTGTTGTACAGTTCTCCTTGCCCCCCAAACACAATTTTCTTCTCTCTAGGACTTGCTTTTTCGTGATCATAACTTTTATCCCTCTCATTGTCCTGCCCAGATTCCTTCCAGCTCCTTAAGAGCTCACTTCCAGGGAAACCACTGCCAACCTCCGTCTGACCTCAAAACTAGTCTGGTTGATGAAAACAAGCAGTGTGCTGAAGGAACTGTCACATTCCATCCTTTTGGGAACATGCAGGTCTTCTGAGCAAATTCCTTGTGCCCACTGGGACAGTGTCCTCAAGGTTAGAGGGAGGGTCCTGGGAAAGCCATATCCCAAGGGGATGACTTGGTGAGTGAAAGCCTGAGCTGGTTTGGGCTGTGGGGCAGGAAAGGGCTAGTGCCAAAGACAGAAAATTGCATGGAAATGGAAGCTAAGGTCACAGGCAGGGGAGGGAAAGGGAAAGGGAATGGTAAAAACATCTTAGTCCTGGTGCTAAGTGTGCACCTGTTCACCTTGCTCTGTGAAACCACACAGCCCCTGGAGCTCAGATCAGTGGTGGTCTGCAGCTCCATAGCTTCATCAGGTGAGCTCCAAAAGTTTCACCTATTCCTGATTTTTTTTTGGAAGTCCACCCCTGGCTACTGCTTTGACACTGTCTCCAGTTTGCATTTCACAAATGGCTGGATCCTGTCACTCTTACATACATTGAGTAACGCTTCATGCATCCCAGCTGGTATGTCAGAGGGAAGAATCAGGCCCACAGTGTAGTCAGATGATGGTGATACACACACTTCTGTTGTATTTGTGTTTAGGTAGTGCTGAGAAATGTTTGTTTCACTTCAGGGCTCTATTTCAAATATGCTTGTCTGTAGCTTGATTTAGAAACAGAAACTGAATGCATTTTATATTTGAAACCTAAGCCACGTAGATAGCTAATGAAACCAGGAGATCCTTCAGAAATCATCTTCGAAGTGGCGTTATGATTTTCATTTCATGGTGCCTGTGCACAAAATGATGTGTTGTCAATTACAGAAGTGTTTGTTCACAGACTGTCGAGCTACATTTTTTAGTCAAAAAGTGATTATGATAGTAAATACTTGCCAGGTTACATATTCAGTCTTCTGCATGAACATGAATTACACCTCAGCTTTAGCCATACAATGTGGGCAAGCAAATTCTATTTCTCCATTTTATAGAAGCTTTACATCTGACACAAAGACAAAAGAGCAAGGAGCTGTCAGAACTATAACTAGAACTCAAGACTTCATTCATGCTTGTTCTCAAGCCAATAACCATGTGCCTGTGCTGCAGCCCTTCCTAATTATTCTCAATTTGCTCTGCTGTCTGAAGAGAGTAAAGAGGGTGTGCAATGCTGAGCCAGCCTGGCTTCCTGACACAACCTTGCTTGCCCCTGAGCAACCCACTGCAAGTTTTCTGTTAAGGATTTTCATTGTGTAAGAAAAAAAAAATACACCTGCTTGCTGGAGAGTGGCTGTAGAGTGTTAAGCAATCTTCACCGAGGTTCAGCTTCTCCAAGGTCAGGTCTGGCTGTTAATGTGGTCTGACAGCATCCCCTGGAGTAAGGGCTAGGGGACAGTAACAAAAAAACATAGCGATTGCACCTCTTTGTGTTGCACTGAAGATTTCTGCTCACCAGGATTTTTGTTACTGATTCAAGCTTTGAATCCAATCTGCTGGAATAAGGGAGGTCCAAGGATGACTTGTGGGTCCATGTCTGCTGTGTCACTGCCTGTGATGCTGCATTTGTGAGAGGATGCAGTCAGCCTGGCCCTCACTGTCGCCCCTGCTGGCCAGGGAAGCTGTGAAAGGAGAACTCTCCCTTCTCCCTCATTCTATGGATTCTACTTTTCTAGATTACCTTTTTTTTTTTTTTTTTTTTTTTTTTTTTTTTTTTTAAGTAATCCAGTCTTCTGCTCCCTTGTATTTAGATCTATTTAGAGATTCAAACATCCCCTCCTCTGATTTATGCCACACCTAGTGTTTCCATGCGTTGCAGAATGTTTTGGTGCAGGATGATGCTCATACTTGCTGTGAGATCCCCACATTCTTATACAAAACAGGAACTCAGGAGCCAAGCATGTAGTGATGGGTGAGAGGAAAAGAAAATATCTGTCCTGTTAAAGCCGGAAAGAAGTATTTCCCTCTGGAAATACACACCTGAAGCCAGCCATGCTGTGGAGCAATGCACTTGGCTGTTCAAAGCTCTTCAGAGACTGACAAAGTAGTGCTTCTGCCCTGGTACACTGATACCATGCTTTCTGTAATTACCATTAAAGTGGCACCCTAAACACTTTTCTACAAAACAGGTTACCCCAAAACCATGATTGACTTCCAGATCACAGCCATAGTTCTTGGAATTGTGCAGTGTCCAACCCAAAGGTCGTTCCTTTGCCCAGAGCAGGAATAGATGGAAGAGACCTAAGATAAATTTTCCAAGAAGATCAATGTTGTGTTGTGCCACTATCCAGGCTTAACCAATTTTGTAAGAAGTTTCCTTGTTTAGATTTTGTTAGACTGATCAGATGTAAATTTAATACTGACAAAACTAAATTCTGACAATTAGCTGTGTATAAGGAATTTAAACACATCTGAGCTCAAGAGGACCGAGACCCATGTAAACCAAAGGGCTTTGGATGCTTTCAAATGAAGTGCAGAATTCTCTTAATCCACAAGTGTCCTAATAAAAGATGCATCAGAACGGCTGCCTTGCAGAAACAAGGCAAAACAAACAAGCCTAACAAGTGGTACTGCTGTGTTGTCTAAATATTGCCTCTGCCTGGGACACAACAAACTAATACACAGAGCAAAATCACTCAAAGCTTTTAACAATACAGGCTCATTATTCTTCTTTTCCCTTTGAAAATCTATCTGGAGGAAAGGAATACATATTAAAATCAATACTAAAATATTAAAATAGCTCTGCCATCTTTAACCTGTTTATTCATTTTTCATCAGCAGAGCTCTGTATTAACTTCCCATGAGCTCTAAGGTTTCTCATATCTCATGAAATCTAAATGACAAACAGCGAATATTATTGGGAGAAGATTTTTAAGTCCAAATATTTTTTATTATTTCTGGCATGTGCATTCCAGAGATTAACGAAAGGGATACAGAAGTTTCTCTCTTACAAGTTTTTCTTTGCTGCCTGCACTAGCTGCAGGAGATGACTGGAATTGATAAATGGCTGCAACAGTTGGAATGTGTACCAGGTAAGATTTGTCAATTGTAAAATATACAAATGCCAGAGAACTGCGACATGCTGGTCTCAGAAGTCCATCACATGCTTTTTGACTTCAGCTGTGAGTAATGGCAAAACCCTGTGTCAGCTGTCTGATACCTACCAGGGTTTTGAGTAGAAGGAACTAGCAATGCCTAACATGTCAGGTAAAACATGCACAAAAAGTCACATAAAACTGGAAGGTGGGCTGAAATCAAGGTAGACTGAAATTAAGGTTTTGTAAGACTGGTGATTGTTTTCTAAGCCAGAGTATGGCAGAGGTACAATAAGCACAGAAAAGCTGTGTGTCATGGCAAAGAGTTTTTCTCCTGCATTTGTAATCATTTCACAGATGAGGACAGTTTCAGACAGTGAAGTGTAGGCTCTCCCAGCACTCACTACTTTGTTTTTTGTTTTTTGTTTTTTTTAAACAGCTGGACCGGATAATTATTCATCAGCAGGTGGAGCTCCTTGAAGGTATCGTGCAATACTTATCATGCTCTAATGGTGCTGGTACACAGGTATCTCCAGAAGGTTTTCAAGTCTTCTCCCCATCTTGCTGAAGTCATTGCAAAGTCTTCTGCTGACCTTGCGTCAGGTCTCTACTGTGGTGGTAGTACGGTGAAATGAGGAAAGAAGGATCACAAAGAGCCTCTGCCTCAGCCCTAAAACCCCTCTCTCAAAGTTATTAAAGATGAATTTTTTCCATGGATTGGAAGGATGGTTGTTGTCCTTAACAGCAATTAGCATATGACAAGTAAATAGATAAAGAAAGGTCAGGAAAAAAAAAATGAAGCATAATTTTATTTACATAGTTCCTCAAAATTTCAAAGTTTCAAGTTCTGCAAGTAAACAATTTTTTAAATGCATTTCTCCATCTTGAAATGTTTGTGGCCTGATTCTTGGGTATCTCCCAAGTTGTCACTGTGCAAGTTGTCACTGAAGTGGGATGGCCTCATATCATTATTCTTCACAGGTTAAAAAGAAGAAGCCAAAACCAAAACTCAGGACATGAATTCTGTTTTGTGATCTATACTTCAGTGTACAGCAAACCAAAGTCTTTGAAGTAAATGTTCTTTCAAAATACAGAGCTGACATTATTATATCATTATCATTGTACTTTGTGTAATTTCAAAACATTTTTTATACAGTCTCTGTTCATAGATTTTAGAATATATAAGGCAGAGAAGACTGAAGCTGTAAACTTGTATGCAAAGCTGAATTTGGTGAGTCTTGGCAGAGGCTACCTCTAATTCTAACATTACGGTACAGTAACACCTGACTTGTTTTGCTTTATTAGCCATACTTGGCACAGAAACCTGCAGCAAATATGAGATAAAAAACCATTTGGGACAAAGAGTTTACTTTGCAGTGGAAGAAAACGGTTGCTTTGATCGTAACTTGTGTTCGCCTATAAGGTCTTTCACCATAAGGATTGCTGATAACTCAGGCCAAGAAGTGATTACAGTGAATAGACCCTTGAGATGCAGCAGCTGCTGGTTCCCCTGCTTCCTGCAAGAGGTGAGTGCTGCCTAATTGCCTTTTGTCCGAGCATCTCACTGCATGTGCTCAGCATTAATTAAGCTTTGTGCAACCTCAGTGAGGATGGCAGGAAGGAATTCCCAGCCCCATCCCAGCCCCGGGCTGTGCGGAGAGCAGCTTCTGTTCTCACTTCTGCATGTGTCCAGGCAATATTACAAGTGAGAGGAGAATAAAAACCTTATACTGGCTACTGGGCTATGTTCTTACTTCTTTTAAAGACCATTCTTACAAACAGGCCTTAATTTAGAAGCAATTATTGTAGAAAAACAAACAAACAAACAAACAAACAAAAAAGGCTTCTTTGAGCGAAAAATACAGAATCAGATTTTTTCATTCCATTTTTGTCTTCTTCTCATGCATCTTTCTTATTTTATTAAAGTGTTTTATAGCATGACTCACCTACCTATTTTATTGGTGCTGCATCAGGATTTTAGAAAAAAAGGTCCTTGGGTAGCACAATTACTTCATGAAAAAGCCTGTAGGATACTCGCTGATTATAATACTTTTGCATTACATTGTATTACTTTTCTCAAATCTTACATCGGTGTTAGCTTCTGGTGCAGCTTTTGAGGTTTGCATTGTTCACTGTATATAAAAACATATATATATATATATATATATATATATATATATATATATAAAAACACCATTAGACAGCCATTAGATATCCAGTTCATGATTCAGTAAAATTATACATAATTACGTTCAGTAAAAAAATATTTTGCAGTTATCTAAATGATACAGTATTATGGAAAAATACACTAATATAAGACCAGTTTATAAGATATTGCTTTGTTTTGTTTGATAGCTAGAAGTGCAGTCCCCCCCAGGTACAATAGCTGGGTATGTTGTACAGAACTGGGACCCTTTTCTGCCTAAGTTTACTATACAGAATGAAAGCAAAGAAGATGTCCTAAAAATAATTGGCCCGTATGCAACCTGTGGCTGTTTTGAAGATGTTGAGTTTGAGGTATGTTACTTACGAGTGGTAAGAATTTTAGTTACTGCTTTGAATGAATTTCTCACTTGAAAATCCTATTATTCTACCCTTAAAAATATTAAATACGCTAAAATAATTTGGGAACATAATTACAATGATGTATATCGGAGTTCCTGACTTCTACGTGCAGATTCCTGCAGGTGTTTTCTGAACAGGAGTGACAATTCTGCATCCATTTAACATCATTTGTCAGGAGAAAAGTAATTCTGAAGAGCTGTTGAAATATTTAGAGGGAGATTTATGAGATGAGAGGGAGAATGGGAGATGATTGAAGAAACCATGGACTGAGGTTTCTGATGTGAACAAAGCTCTTTCTCTTAGTTAAAGATTCATAAGAGTACTTCTGTGTTCTTCAGAAGAGTTCAGTAGGGAATGTCCCAAATTTCAGTATAGTCTGAGAAACTTGAAGATGGCTGCACAATCAAGAACATATCTGTTGGTTGTGGGGGACAGTGGTCCACAGCAGTGATACTACTGTGACTTGGAGCACATCAGAAACACAAAATGGGGGAAAAAAATCTGTTATAAAAGAAGAATTGGTATAAATTTTCACAATTACTTTCATCCACTTTTCCATCAGCTCTGAAGATGCTGATATCTCCAAATGTGTAAGAGAGACCCTTTGTTGAGTGCCATTCCTAAAAGTAAATCCGACACTAATAGAGTATTTCAATGACAAGAGCAGCCTGGCAACTATGGCATACTCTGCATAGTGGGGCAGTCATTAATTCTGTTAGGATATAATAAGTGCGTATTAGATTTCGTTACTTTTTTTTTTTTTTTCCCTATCTTTCATTGGTGCAGGTAAAAGTTCTCAATGAAATGTCAACCATTGGCAAAATTTCCAAGTACTGGTCTGGATTTGTAAACAATGTCTTTACCAACACTGCCAACTTTGGGATCCAGGTCCCAGTAGATCTTGATGTGAAAATCAAGGCAGTGATGATTGGTGCATGTTTTCTCATTGTAAGTATGAAAAATCAAGAGGTAGTTTCATGGAACTGGACAGCCTGCGGGAACAAAGGGACCCTTGCTGTCAGCTGTGATCATACAAAGGCATACATGCAGTGAAAAGTCAAACCACTGCCTGGAGGATAGCAGTTCACTGGAAAGCTTTTATTTTTTATTTTTTATTTTTCATCCCATTTTTAGTTTTTCTATTTTTGTAATATTTTGTTCACTAAACTTTTAAAATAGTATTCTATGTGTAGTTCAATATCTTGCATGACAGGATCAAATATCAAATGTAGCAAACTTCCCCAAGCTTCTTATCTGCTGTGTTTGTATGATCCATAACAAAGGTTATGGTAGCTCTGGTGGTAATTTAAAACACTGAGCCCAGTTCTTAAGTTCCAGGGGAAAATCAACCATCTAAAAATTAACTGTTCAAACCTGGTCCCCAGCTGGGACTCCTTGGTGGGGAGGGAGGCAGCTGCCTCTTCAATAACTCTGTTGAGTGTTTTGCATGTATAATATTCAGGTCATATGATTTCTCCTAAAAATAAAAAAAAAATCTCTTGTGAAATTAATTGTAAGAAAAGAATTACATATGAAAAAGAGAATACTGTTATTTTCTTAATGCTTGCTGCTTTTGTCAACTTTAACATATTAAGAGTAGCATGCAATGGTATCAGTCACCTTCAATATATACATCAGAAAACACAAAAGGACAAAAGTATGTAAATTATTCACTAGAAAGTCTTTGCTTTAAAACATCAACAGCTCAGATATTTAGTTTTTATTAGGTTAGAAATGTAACTTGTGGTACTTAAGATTTTTGGATTGTCCTCTGAAACTCTGGTTGCTCAGTGGCAAAACAATATAAGTTGATTGACTGACCTAGTTACTTTATGTAATAAAAGCCTACAAATATGACTTTTCATATTAATTGTTGTATTTTTGTACCTTCCTTACAATCACAGTTTGTTTATTTGTAGGACTTAATGTTCTTTGAAAACTCTCTGGATGGATTATAACAGGATGACAGAAACAATAAAATATGCAGAATGTGTTTCAGTAAGTAAAAATGAACATAAATTGATCTTCTTGCTTTGAAGACTTATATGTTAGATACTTTCTAATTCTTTTTCATTTTCTTCCAGAAATCCCTTGAGCTTTGGACATTATTTTGAACTGCACAAATCCTTGTTCCATACAGGAAAAGAAAGGGAGCTAATGATGCTGTTTATTAAAATATCTCTCATGTAAATAATAATTTTGCCATGTATGCATTGTAGCTAAACATATACTTTTCCCACAGAGCACTGTTGCTTTGGAACAGTGCTATTTTCTTTCCCTTTTGATGTTTCTGCATGGGAAATCATGAAAGATTAGACGAAGACTTGCAGCATCACTGATGAAAGTCTGTGTTTAAAGAACCCTTTGATGCTCTGTGAGTTATGCTACCAGTTACTAACCACATCAAGGTGTGTTGTGTGGGTTTTGCTTTTGCTTTTCATAATTTTAGAAGTAATTTTCTGATTTGTAATTTAATTAATAGCAACAAACTGAGTTTGAGAGCAACAAATATAAAGACATCACCCAATGTGAACTTCAAGATGGTATCTATTTAAGTAAGTTGAAAAAAAAAAAGAGAAATGATGTTTGCTAGTAATTTAATTTTACGGCGAAGATTTATTTAATGAGCAGCACCCAGAAATTAGTCTTCCAACACTAGAGTGGGGAACAAAAATTTCATTCAGAAAATCTGGATTTTCACTTCCTATACTGAAGGTAGGAAATAAGGTTTGAGAGAGAGTCATCCCCTATGTGCTAGAGGTGCACGAACCACTTAACATTTGAACTATTTGATTCTGAAGGAATCAGAAGGATTCCTTCAGATTCTGAAGTCTGAAAGATTCTTGTTCCCATGAACAAAATTTTTTTTTTTTGTCCTCTTTATAATATCTGGTGGTAGATAACTTCTCATTCAGCCTTACCTGAGGCCACTCTAGAGCAAAATGCCTTCCAGGGACAGAATTATTCTTTCCCTTTGGCAAAGGACTATACAACAGCAGCTTTTTCTATTTCAGGTAAGTTTTAAATAGCTGTTCATTCCTGCAGTCACACCTCATAATATTGTTCCTAATCATTCACACCAACAGGCTTTTACTAATACAGGCATCCTGTCTAGGAACATCCATGATACACATAAAATATACACAGTAACATTTTTGTTGCAAAGTATTTGCTGTGCAAGGTTGCTTATGTCTCTCTTAAAAAATACAATGAGTCCTTCAAGAAGCAGAACAGCACCATAAAATACTGGTGGTAAAACCAAATGCTGTCATAATCACCAGTCAGGTTCACAAGGAGAAGATTTTACAAATCCCCTGGAATGCAGGATTTTGTAGCGTGAACTGGTAATTCAGTTCTTGTAAATAACCAAACACACCAACGGAAGGGAGAGGAGATGATGAATTATTCATAAAAATGAAACAGAGCTAAATTTATCAGGTGATTAATTCTCAACAAATATTTAGACTAATTTTAATTTAACGTTCATGGATATGAATTCAAACACAGTGAAGCCAGGAAGCAGCAACTAATATTCCCATAGAGAAATTAGCTCAGGAACGCTTATAGATTTAAACAGTATGTTTTAGATTATATACCAGACTTGGGTATTTATACAGAATCACATATGTCTTGAAAATAATTGTGGTTAACAAGCTCTGACAATCATCATTATTTGTTAACCGTTTTGTTACCAGCTCTCACTATAATTCCTAGCAGCACACCAGGCTAGAGCCATCCACAGTGGTGAGCTCCAGGGAAGCACTGCCATCTCCCCTCCCGGTACATTTACGTGTTCTCTACCTATGGGTTTAGTGGGCAAGACGCTCCCTCCTGTGGAAATTTATAGTTTTGCAGAGAGGTACAGATGACATGCCAATTTGCTCTTCTCACTAGTTACACACTGGTGTAATTCTAGTAAATTCAGTCCTTTTGCTGCTGACTTAATCTAATGCAGACTGAGGAAAAGAGCAATATTACTGTTTTAATTTATCCCTTTAAATCACCTTGCTACCTTAGACAGAAGTAACTGTACTGTAGCAACAGTGTTGGGTCTCATGTAACACCATGTTCTTGTACTGGTGGTGTGTGTAGCTGAACTCAGGGCCTGGTGAGAGCAGCTGGTCCTGGGTTATCAGCCACTCTTCTTCCAGTTTCCAGCCCTCTGATGACCCTTAGCAGCCAAAGACATCTTTAAACAAATGTGTTCAGTCCCCACTGAAGTCAATACAAAACAAGGTTGTCTTTACCTGCAGGTCTGAATTTGGCCATGAGTATCCACATATGCCCTGTAGGTGAATTATGCATACTTTTATATATTTTTATATATTGTAACCAGATGATGGTACTGTATTTCTTGTTCTTAGTGACATTGCTGCTGGTCTTGTATGTTAATACACATTATTTTTCTTTTTCTTTAAAAAAAAAAAAGAAAAGAAAAAGAAAAAGGTAACATGTGTAGGAATGTATGAATGTCCCTGTTTACAGCCAGGGACAGCTTTTGAGACATACAGAAACAGGCTAAGCCCCTGGATAAAACAAAGCAGAGGGGCTGGGGCAGCTCTTGCTGGCTAGGAGAACTTCCTCAGCAGTCTGCTTGACTTTGGTCCTAACTTCAGCATCCTGGTATAAATCTAGTGCCAATGCCAGCAGTTTTTCAACTGGAAGTTCCTTCACTTAAACTACAGTTGCCATGGGAGAGCAGGAATTCATGCTGCCAAAAGATGAAATCCTAAGTGATATTACGAAAGAAAAGTTAACGTACTACAAACATTTTCTAAGTAATAAGAATGTTCTACTAACGTTCTTATTAACACCAATGCATTTCATGTGATGGAAGCTACATGAACTCTTTACAAAACCTCCATTTCACAATTCCCCAATGCCATGAGTGGCACTCCAAAAATTTGGTATTCCCCCAAAGGAGAACAGATACTGTCTAAAGCAGAGTCATGTCCTGAACATCTAGAAAGAAACATGTTTATTCTAATGAAAGAGAAATTTTACTTAATTCAGCCAAGCGACTACTTTCCCATTTGATAGCTAGCTGTGGATCTGGGTAGTACATAATTCTTGTGTGCAGTAGGTGGCAGCAACAGTTCATTATTGGAATATTTAGCTACAAGTGTACCCGGGACACTGGTTAAAAGATCAACATGCTTTTAACCTCTAATTGATTTCCAAACTTAAATGGAGGATTTTTTCTTTGTTGCCTGATATTAAACCTTTGGCATAAGATGCTTGATTGTCTTTATTGCCCCAAATTTACAGATGAGTCATGGTGACATATTTTGTGACATCTGGTAGATGCACACGCAGAATCCAGTCTACCTTAAAGAGGGTTCTTTTGGTCAATCCAAAATCTATTCTGTACCTGGGTCATCTCTACAACTTCCACAGGTGGAGAGGGGAGAAGCTGCAGTCCCAAGGCACTCCCCACCTTCTGCAGAAACAAAGTGATGTGTCTAAAGGAAACTGCTTTGTGGTGGGGTCCCTAGAAGTGTGGGGAAGTTTTCTATTAGTGAAATTTGTCCATGTGTCGTATTATCATGGTCTATCACCATGTGCTGTAAAGATGGAAACCCTTGGTACTGCCACAACCCCAGGTGACACCAGTAACCTGGGAGGGAGCTGCTTTGTTGATGGAAAGAATGGCAACACAGAATCTCTGCAGGCTCTGAGATCTTTGGTTATCTAATAATTTGCGGTATATGAAAGTGCTTTTCTTTGAATTACTGTGATGCATATATTGAAAAACATCTTTGTAATTATTTATTTTAGAATTAGACAAACCTAGAAATGATGCAAAATAATCATTTTCTAATGGAGCTAAGTGGTAGCTCTCATTAGGAAAACCAAAATGCAACTTCTTCCTATTAACAGTCTTCTTCTTTGTATTGCTTTCCTTCAATTAGAATGATATATTCTCTGTTAGAATGACACATACTAGTTTAATTCAAATATCAGCTCTAGGTTTTTAAATGGTCTAGGTTTAAACCTAGAGGTTAAAGAAGTTTAAACCTAGAGGTTAAGCTCTAGGTTTTTAATATTTCTCTTCCTTAAAAGTATCTCCATGGTGGGGGTAAGGACTTTAGATCCTTAGGAAAAGTTACCCCATATTCTGTGAGAAGAGATTTGTTATTTTTTCTGGAATCCAAGATACTTTGCTAAACCTGATTCCTCTTAAGAATAGCTTCCTTAATGCCAAATCATTGTTGAGGTCCTCTGTTAGCAATTGCTGTGAGATGGACTTGTTTATTTGCCACTATTTTGTTCCTTCACTCTTCTTAAATGAAGCTAACAAAACAAGCCAAGACAGATACAATTTTCTGCTTTCTTTTCTGTATTTGTTAGGGTGCATTTGTAAGCACAGTACTAACCTCTTACAAAATAAAGGTCAGCTGGACAGACTGACACATGCCCAGTGACTGTACCCAAAAATGTGTACATTCCTTTGGAATGGACGTTCAAGAGGAAACTCTTGGCACTGCAAAGAGGAGGTCTGCAGGTGACTTCATTGTTGTGCATCTCCTGGGTTGCCATTGAAAATTCATCTCAATTCACAATTAAGTCTTATATTCCAGTCTCTTTGCAAAAATGGTAAAAGAGACTTCTCACCCTCATTCTCTTCCATTTTCTTCTTACTTGAGTTATCCTCAAATAACTATGTAATAAAAGACGTCATCAAGACCACCTGAGTTCTCACATGACATCCTAACTGGGAGGAAGGTTGCTGCTCACCTGTCGGACCTTATTGACTGTGCTTGCTAGTAAACATTGACAGGCTAGACTTAGTGTGCAAGAAAGCACAATGGCATTATGTAAAAGCAGAGGACAGAAGTGCAGGGAGCCACAGGGTGGCCCCACGAGAATGTCGCTGCCACCCAGCTGGCCCCAGGTCGAGGCTTCCCTTCCGCCTGCATTTTGGGAACACGAGACTGGAAAATATGGATGCCCTCACCACAAATGATCCATCCTTAACTTTCTGTTGGTCAGTTATAGCACGACTAATAGTGCTTTTATTCCAGTAAATGGCAGTTATTGAGGGGAAAAAAAATCCCACAAGTCATTTCAACAGGACATGTTAGCTCAATGCATGTTTCCACCCTCAGATATTACTGGCAGGGCCTTTTTACTCCATGCTGACCACATCAGGTAAGTGCTCTACTTACAGCACAGTTGTTTTGTATTAAAATAAAAACCCCAAGGTACCACTGGTAGCCATTGCTCTACACAGAAATACTCCTTTCTAGCTAGAAATGAACCTGGATACCTTTGTGTTTTCTTTTCTTTGTCTTTTGTTTGTTTGTTTGTTTCAGGTGAGAAAGAAAATGTTGGTGTGTATATGGTAAGTTTCAGTGTTGCTACATAAGTATTTTCCCAGTTGTTCATGAATTGCTCACAGAATCTTGGGGAATTTTTTGATAATTCTAATAAATGTGTTACCTTTCTACCCATGTCTCATTTTATGCCCAATGAAGAATTATATTTTGCCATCAGGAATCATTTTGTGCAGCCATCTTTAATGATTATGCCCCTGATATAAGGGCTATAAAGGACTGAAATAAGAAATGCAGGCTGGGATCAAACTAAGGATCATTTCTAGAAATGCTTCATATGCTGCATTGTGAGAAACACTCTGTAGCCAATAACTTAGGCTCAGGCGAGGATCTCAGTGGAGTAGTAATTTATTCGCGATTGCAATAGCGGGCGCCCCACAAGCAGGAGAGCGCACCTACTAGTTCCAAAACACAGTTTATATACTTTTTGATGGCAGGACTTTCCCCTGTTTCCCCACTGAGTGAGTAATCCAGGTTCACAATCTATCTGATGCTTCACAGACAATGCACGGCCTTCAGTTGCTGGCCTGTTAAATTTCAAATTTCTTTTGACACTTTTACTGTTTAAAGTGGTAATATTCCTTCACTTATCTGACTTAACACCGTGATTTTCTCCCAATTGCTCTAAGGAGTCCGGTTGTCTGCATTTTACAAGGTTGTTTGTTGAGCTTTCTTATCACTGCAAGCATATCTCAATACCACATTCCTTCCTTCTAAACAATGTAACTCTGCAAAAACATTTATATTCCCACAATTCCCCCCTTTTCCTTTTTTTATAAACCGTTGATTTTTGCAAAAACTTTTTAAACTATTTTTATTTTTTTTTTAAGTGTAATTTGGTAAATATCTTCCTCTTCTTCACTTTCTTTCCTCTCCATTTCCTCTAATATCATCATTTTATCTGAGTAGGGTGGTGGATCCATGGTCATTTGTTTCAGAAATGTGGTTTCAATTAACCTCTGGACAAGTCCCCTTACACAGGGGATAATGCAACAACCAATGGCTGTCAAAACTCCTGCTACTATGATCAAGGATGTAAATATAGACATTACCATCCCTTTCCATTTACCAAACCAAGATTCCAACCATCCTGTGATGGAAGTGTCTGCTCCTGAATTTTCTGCCAATTCATTGGCAAGGGTGGTAAGCCCTTGCAATGCTCTTGTTACTGTGCCATCTGGGGCAGTATTGTTAGGGATGAAAATACAACAACGGTTGCCCAGCATCACGCATACACCACCCTTCTCCGCAAGCATCATATCTAATGCTATCCTGTTTTCCCAAGCCATTTTGCTGACAGCATCTAGTTGTTCAGTGATTTCTCTTATCGCATCCCTGCTATAATTGATGAATCTCTGCTGATTATAATAGATATAATTAATCCAATCCACATTTTTATTGATTGTTACCCACCAGAACAGTGACTCAAGCCCTGCAGCAATTTGATTTCTGGCTTTATGGTCATCTGGAACTCCTCTAGGTACCCCAATAGAATCTATGTACACTCTGTCATCAAATGATATTCCTAAGCCTCTTTTACTTCTTCTGGGTATTTGTGATGTTTCTCTTTCAAATGCCAGGGTGAAGGGTATAGCTAATTGAACAAGTGCACAAGTGCCTTCCCAATTAGATGGTAGGGTGGACCGTAAGATCTTCCCTCCACAGTACCACCAGAGATCTGCCCTGGGGATCTCTAGTCTTGAGCAGTTTCCCGTCAAGTCCTTGGTAGCACAAGGCAAATTCTCCCAGATGCCAGGTAGCACTCACACCCTGCCGTGAGAGGCAAGCTGTATGGTTACCTATAGCCGTAGAGAATGCAGGGGGAACTGCGATATTGCTATCACACAAGGAACAGCAAAGAGAGACTTACAGGCCTCATTTCCCCAGGCAGTCTTTTTTTGGTACAATGTAATCATACATTGCATCCCCTGGGAATCCTTGGTCCACCCCCATGGGAAGGGCACTATCTGGGCAATCGGTCATCCCGAGGCACAAGCATAGCAGCAGCTACGGTTGAGACTCTGGACGGTATATTTGACCCATTCTATCCAGGCATTCACATCCCCATACCCTGTTTGAATCTCAAATGTTTGAACTGCCACATTTCAGAGGGCCTCCTGTTTTCTCTCCTGTTTTCTCCTTCAGTTTCTCCCTTTCTCTGATGGCAATAGAGGATCGTTTCCATACAGCTATTCTCAGTCTGGCTGTTGGGTCTCTCCCAGTTATTTGTTCTCTCTGCTCAGTTGTCGTTGGGCATTTAAATCTCCACAAGCTAACACCTCACAAACATCAAACATGACGGCTTGTGGTACATAACCCTCTGTCACAGTCACCCATATTTTGATGGGGTATCCCGTTTTTGCTATTTTCTGGTCATGCCTTTTCCAAGTTGCCAATTGACCAAGGCCTTCTCTGAGGCCTAGAATCACTAAAAACAAAATTAGTAATCGATTTTTCCCTGTCATTATTTTTAAACCTTAGTTTTCCAAATAATTATCAATACAAAGAATAAGATGTACACTACTACTATAACAACCCCCCTCCTTGGGAGCACTGCAATTTGCTATAGGTCTGTTCTTTCTCTCAATCACAAGTTACAGTCGTTAGTTACCTGTGAAAATAAAAGGTTACTTTACACTTCTAAGCTCTTCTCCTTCTCAGAGTCCACTATGAGATTTTTCTCTTCAATTTCAACTTCCAACAAGTCTTTCGTAGGAACAGCTTCCCAGATACTAGCGTCGACAGATGCCTTCACTCGAGTATAGTGAGTCCAAACTTTTTCCACAGTTTTTATGGCTATTTCAGTGGTTAGTAATTGTCCTTCCCATTCAGGCCGGAGTTGACTCTTTCCAGGTCCAAATCAGGACCCGGTTTCCTGGGTGATGGTGGTGAATGGGGAATTCCAAAGGTGGAGTTTGAGCCAACAACCCACAGGTCCTGAGAGATGACAAAGAAGAGGACAACCCCAGAATACAGTTCTTAAGAAAACTCTCTTGTTTCGAATTGTGGTATCTCATCCCTTCTGCCCAGATAGGGCAATCTGAACAGCATCTCATATGGTGAAATTCCAATATCCTTTCTTGGTGCTGTTTGAACCTGTAGGAGTAAGCATTTTACCCAAGGAAGTTGGGTTTCTAACACTAATTTAGTTAATTGCTTCTTTAATGTCTGGTTCATTCTCTCCACCTTCCCAGAAGAGGAGGGGTGCCAGGGGCTGTGAAAATCCCACTCAATCTCTAAGGCCTGCTTTAGCACTTGCAGTAAAGCTTTACACCCATCCAGTCACGTGGTCAATTAGGACAAACAAGTAACTCAGTAAAGTTTACCTGTATACTTTGGAAAGGTCAAATCCCTGGCTCTTGTCCCCCTCTAGATGGGTTACAGAAGACCTTTTTATTTACCTTTTGACATATGGTACATCCTCTACATATGTGCTTCCCTAAAGTGTATATTCCTACACAGACATACTTTCTTAGCACAACATCACACATTGCTTGCACCTCCCAATGACTCTTCTGATGTAAAACAGTTAATATTTGCCTCATTATCACTTTATTCAGCATTTCTCTCCCATCAGGGAGTATCCATTTTCCTTCAGACTTCATTCCTTAAAAAAATCTTTCTTTTAAAACTTTTTAGTTCTTTCTTAATTTCTTAATTTTCAACAATTCCCTGAATCCTCTCTGCATTTATTCTGTTTTCCTTCAAACATTAGATGCCTTAAATACCTGACTTCTCTTTCTCCATATTGTAATTTATTTTTCAATACTCCCAAGCCCTACTTTCCCAGAAAGTTAGATAGCTTATTAGTAGCTTCCTTCACAACTGTTTTCTCCTGTCCTGACAATAAAAGATCATCCACATATTTGTAACAGTAACACCTCCTCAGGAGGTTGGAATTGCTCCAAAATCTGTTCTAGAACTTGCCCAAATAAATAGGTGGCCCTGTAAACCCCTGAGGTAAAACCGTCCATCTGTATTGTTGCTTCCGCAAAAACAACATTTATATTCCCACAGCATGCATTTTTAGAATTCAATTGAATGTTTCAAGCTTTTTTTTTTTATTACTACTTCTGAATACAATAGAAGAATTCAAAGTGACAAAATACTGTTTTATTTTAAAAAAAGTAATCCTATTTCCTTTCATTTTCAGGAGGGATTTTTTTACTATTATACAGACAGCTTGCTGAGTGTATAGAATAGAAGTGAAAAAAAATGTTTTTTGATTTTTTTTTCCACCTTTTGTCCTATCTCTAGTTTCATGTAGTTGTAGTATCTGAGTTGAGTATCTGGGAACTCGGTAAGAGCCACAAGTAATGCCTTCCCTAACCTTCAGCATTGCTCAGCACCAGGGCAGCAATACCCCACCTGGAACTGTAAGTTTTCCTCCAACACAGGGCTAGGGTTAGACAACATTAGTGTTTGTGATGCAAGGGGATTTTTAAAATGTATTTGAATCAAGAACCAGATGTGCACTTTAAACTCCTCAGAGCTTAGAACTGTTTTGTTCTGATATTTATTTTGTTCTGGAACATTTCCACTTAAAATAATTGAGCCCACCATGTGGGAATGGCATCACTCCAATGCCCTAACAGTGCAACAGATAGATAAAGACAACGAGTTTAGTGGGATGCAGAACAATCAGGTTATTAATTGAATTAATAATTTAGCAAATACACTAATACATTAAATGGTTGCCTATCGGACAGCTTTATCACAGTCCTTATCGCTGCAGACTGTCAAGGCCAGCAAGATAATGCACCAGAAAAGTGAAAGCCCAACAGGAACTTGTGGTGCACAGTGTCTTTCATCCTT